CATTACAACTGTACTTATACATTAAACAAAAAACATACAGTAGCATACCAATGTGAAAACTGCATACATAGGTTTTTAATTTGTTTTTATAGTACCCATTAGGATCATAAGTCAGTACCAAAAAAGCAGCTTCTGCATAACTATCAAGTACATTTTAGTGGATTTTTGCTGATTACCTAACACAATTTGCTATTTAAAAACAGCTGTGTGAGCAATTACTATTCTTAACTTAATTCCACAAACAATTCTATTCATTTCCTGTAATGAGGTCTGTGTACTCCCTGCGTTCAAGTCTTAGACCATTAATTCCTGCAATGGCAACACACTCTGCCTCTCAGAAGAACTCCATAAAATTTTTCCTTCATATTTTCCCTATTTTTAAAAATCTCTTCCTCATATATTCTTTAAACTATGACTCATTTCTTTCTAGACTCACAAAACAAAAATTTACATTGACCACTTGCCCTCCTTACATTTTATTCACTCACTCATTAATCAATCTCTTGTGACTATCTAGTCTCTTCCTAGACCACAGCAGCAAATCCAAATGCCAGGCACACATAAGGCTCTCAAGTAAATGTTTGTTTATAAGATAAAATTGAACTTTTTCAAATCATCAAAGGTTATCCCTAAAATAAAATACAAAGGCCCTCTGTTGGTCTTTGTTTCTTACATCTCTGTATCAGAGGTCAGCAAACTTCTGTTGTGAATGTCCATACAGTAAATATTTTAGGCTTTGTGGACCATACACTCTGCTTACCAACTAGTCAACCCTATTACGTAGTACAAAAGCAGCCATAAATAAAATATAAACAAACAGAGTGGTTGTGTTCCAGTAAAGCTTTATTTACAAAAAATAGGTGACAGACCATGAATCATATTTTGCCTACCTCTACTCAATGCATTTAATCCTGTTAACCACGATGCCTGTGTGGGATTTGGGGACATTAACCTTTGGACCTCTATTTCTGCATAGTATCACTTCCTCTTCCATGTGAAAACTAAAAATACCTGCTCTTCATCCCATGTTCTTCTCACTTTATGCTCTACCCTTTGGACAACTAATTCAGTTTTATGATTTTGACTGTCTCCTCCAAATGATGTTTCCAATGCACATTCCCAGCCTTAATCTCAGTTTTGTATTTTGGGTCTTAAATCATCAAATTCTTGCTGGAAACTTTCATTTGGTTTTCCTGCCATTACTTACAACCCATCATATATCTTAATACCAAATTCTCTGTATGTCCTTCATCTCTTCCTCATATGCCTTTAGACCCTAATTATTAATATTTCTAATACTGCAGGTAGTACTATAATAGTTGAGGTCAACTAGACTTGTAAACTGGCATCATCTCTCGTTCTCCCTTCTCTTCTCCCTCCCTATCCCTATACTGAGTATTCCTCATGAATATCTCCTGAGGCAGTCTTTCTGTTCCTTTTTATCCTGGGATTTCATGATATCCTACTTAGACTTTTTTTTTTTTGCTAGAGTCTCTCTGAATTTCCTAAAACACTATTATATAACATTTCACTAGCTTCTAATATTCTGCCCATGTAATCTTCCTAAAACAACCCTTTAAAACACATTACCTCAGATTTAAAAAGTAAACAGTTCCAGTACCCCACTACCAAGAAAATAAATCCCAAATTCTTCAACCTGAAATGGAATATTTAATCATCTGTTCTACAAATGTTTACTGTCAGTTGTGCTGGGTTTTGTCCCTCCTATGCTCAAAGCCTTTGAAAACCCAGTTACAATGGCCTCTTCCCTTCTAACCCTAAGAGTCAAAAAACTTACTAATTTCTTATTATGGCATACACACTCATGGTTTAGGGAAGATTCTAGGCACTGGTGATACAGAGACGCACAAGACACAGTAACCCCGCCTTCAAGCACCTGTCATTCAGTGTCTTACCATTCAAACTCTCAACTGTAACCATAAGGCGTATCTATAATACATAGTATCTATCATTGCTCTTATTATTCCTTTTAGCACTTCTACCTCCTCTACATTTAATTCTTACTGGTTTAATGCTCACTTTCAATTCCACCTCTGCTGTACAACTTGCCCAACCTCCTTAATTTTTACTCAGTCCTCTTCAATACTTTTATTGAACTTAAAAATCTATGTCACACAGCACAGAAGTTGTAAATATTCATAAGTGAACACCATTTAACAATCAGCCTCCTATTAATTTAAGAGCACATTCAGTTCTTATTCTGTATCACCTATAATACTGAATACATAGAACAAGCTCCATTAAAAAAAAAAAAGAGCTTTTATACACAAAGTAACACTGGAAATTAATATAAGGGCAGGTTGTCTAGTGGCAGTATAGCTTTTTACTTATCTACTTATACTGATTCTCCCCAGTCTCACTTAACAGTACTAATTTGCAAGGGAGCCTTCATAAAGGACACAACTGATGACCAAAACACAAAAGGAACCACATTAAGAAGACACTCAGCTGAGACCCCTGACATTATCACAGTACTCTAATGGAATGAACTAAAACTCTCTTGTTCACAATCATGTATATTTATTGTAGTACTATATAAGCAAAAATTAGTGCCATGTACAGATTTCTAAATTTTGAACTCTCATAATTAATGTCTAATCCATAAAAAAATAATTGAACTTAAGTCATTTGAAAATACCTACAACTTATAAAGATGAATAATTAGATTAAAAACCTACCATAGCATCCACCTTTGGGGCTGTTAAAACTAGCTGGAAAACTTGGTCACTGCCTATGTAAATAAATCATATCACTTTTGAAATCTTTACCTCAGAGTATTTTTAGTTTAAAAATAGAGGAGTATTTATCAAAGTATTTATCAGCAATTAAAATATACACTAACAATGACTTCCATTAAATAACAGAATATAATCTTGACATAAAAATAAGATCTGTACACCAAATCTTACATATTGCCTGTGGGCATGTAAAATGATATACTTTAGAAAACTGGCAGTTTCTTCAAAGACAAAAATACACATACGCGGGCACCTGGGTGGCTCAGTTGGTTAAGCGACTGCCTTCGGCTCAGGTCATGATCCTGGAGTCCCAGGATCGAGTCCCACGTCGGGCTCCCTGCTCGGCAGGGAGTCTGCTTCTCCCTCTGACCCTCACCCCTTTCATGCTCTCTCTCTCTCTCTCATTCTCTCTCTCAAATAAATAAATAAAATCTTAAAAAAAAAAAATACACATATGCTATGATACAACCTATCCCTAGGTATTTTCCCAAGATAGAATGAGGAAAAATATACAGTCACAAAGAAAACTTGTACACTAATATTAAGGACAGCATTCATAATAGCTAAAACTGGAAACAATCCAGATGACCATCAATTTAAAAAAAAAGAATAGGGACCACCTGGGTGGCTCAGTCAGTTAAGCGTTTGCCTTCAGCTCAGGTCATGATTCCAGGGTCCTGGGATCAAGCCCCATGTGGGGCTCCCTGCTCAGCCGGGAGTCTGCTTCTCCTTCTCCCTCCCTCCCTCCACTTGTGCTCTCTCTCTTAAATAAATAAATAAAAATCTTTTAGAAAGAAAGGGGGGGGAAAGAAGGAAAGGAAGGAAGGAAGGAAAGAAGGAAGGAAAGAAAGAATAAAAGGTCTATAGTTTATTCATTCAAAGCAATCCTGTTCGGCAATACAAAGACATAGACTAGGGGTACACACAACAACATGCATAAATCTCGGTAACCTTATGCTTAGTAAAAGAAATCAGATACAAAAGATTCCATTCATATGTTGATCTAAAACAAAACAAAATCACAGTGATAAAAATAAAGACAGTGGTTGCTTCTACAGTAGAGTTGACTAGGAAGTAGTACAAGGGATACTTATGGGGTGAAATAAAAGTTTATCAAACAACAAAATGTTCTAGTGACCATTTTTCTAAGGTATTCAATTGAAAATAATTATCAACTATGGACAAAATGTTTAAAAACTATTTGAAGGAAAGGAAGAGTGAGCAAAAGGCAGAAATTGGAAAGGATCTGATCAGTGAAAAAAACAAAACCAGATGCACTGAATAAGATCCAAATCTATATGGTTTGTCCAATGAAGACACTCCATAGTCAGCGTGGCATATCATGGTTGAACAAGCAGAAAGTTACTATCTTCTTTGTTTAAGAAGCCAGAAAACAGAATTTGGGAATGTCAGTGTGGCTGGAAAGTAAGGAGGGGAATCATAAAAAGGATAAAGTCAAGCCATGGTTGGGGAAGGTCCAAAAATTTATATTTAAACTCCCCTCAAATCCTTGGCCAACCTAACAACATAAACACAGGGCACAACACAAGAAACCCAACTGAAAGCAATACCTAGAAGGCTAAAATAACTGACCATAGATTTCAACTACTGGTACTACAGAGGAAACTAATCAGGGATGCTTGGTAAATAATTTGGGCTTTCTACAAACCTGTTTTAACAAAGCAGAAAACCAAGCCTCAAGATAATTGACCAATAATGTAACTACTTACCAGAGCAAAAAACCAAAACTCTGCAGAGAAACCAAAACCTCTATAACACATCTTGTACATTTTCTTTCTTTTTTTTTTTTTAAAGATTTTATTTATTTATTTGAGAGAGAGAATGAGACAGAGAGAGCATGAGAGGGGGGAGGGGCAGAGGGAGAAGCAGACTCCCCGCTGAGCAGGGAGCCCGATGTGGGACTCGATCCCAGGACTCCGGGATCATGACCTGAGCCGAAGGCAGTTGCTTAACCAACTGAGCCACCCAGGCGCCCACATCTTGTACATTTTCTAATATAAAATAAAAAATTAATACAGGTGTGGAGAAATAAAAATATGACCTATAGCTCAGGAAAAACACTCCATACGTTGAGATCACAGATGTTGGAATAAGGAAGAAAGGATTTTAAAGCAGCTATTATATATTCAAAGACTTTAAGAAAAAGATGGTCAAAATGAATGGACAGATGAGACACTCTCAGCAGAGAAAACGGAAATGTATTTGAAAATGGAAATTCTAATGCTCATTTTGGCAGCACATATACTAAAACTGGAACGATACAGAGAAGATTAGCATGACCCCTGCACAAGGATAACACGCAAATTTGTGAAGCATTCCATATAAAGAAAAAAAAAAAGGAAAAGTAAATGGAAATTCTAGAATTTAAAATTGTATTAACTGAAATAAAAATTCACTGAATAAGCTAAACAATGAACTGGAACCAGAAGAAGAAACTGTAAGTGAAAATGAATGAAATCAATAAAAATTATTGAATATGAAGTAGAAAAATATTGGAAAAAAGAAATAGCGCCTTAGCTACTTGTTAAACAATATTAAATAGTCTAAAATAAATGTAATCAGAATATGAGAAGTAGATGAGAAAATGATGCAGAATAAACATGTAGGGGAAAACTGCAAAAATTTCCCCAAATCTGTGAAAAACATTACTGACTGCATGCAGACCCAGTGACCTCAGTAATCTCTAAGCAGAAAAATACAAAGCAAACCTCAACAGTACACACAATCATCAAATGGCTGAATGCAAAGACAAAGAAAGAAATCTTAAAACCATCCAGAGGGAAGAAAGACAAGTTACATAAGGGGAAAATGATATAAATAAAAGCTGACCACTTATCAAAAACAATGGAGGCAAGAGACAATAAAATGACATCATTAAAGTCTAAGAGAAAAATATAATAAAGTTCTACAAGAAAAAAAAGTCATCTGAGAATAACTGCCTAGAGATCTGAAGTACAAGCAATACTAACTAAAATTTTCATGCTGAAGAAAAATGACACCAGATAAAATTTGGATCCACAAGAAGGAAAGAACAGAAATGGCAATTACGTAAGGATAAATGACTATTTTTCCTCGATTTTCTTTAACGTGCACAGGACTAAGGAAAGCAGAAACTATGAAGTTGTTTTGAAAACTTTAAAATATTTTTACAACAAAGAATAAAAAAAGGTAAATGAAATAATTCTTTTCACGATTCTTAATTTTATATTGATATGGTAAAATATAAAGTGCATGTAGAATGTAATGAGTGTATACTTTAATCCCTAGAGCAACCCTTAAAAATAATTAAAAGAGGTACAGCTAAAAAGTTATTCAAGAAATTAAAACAGAATACAAACAAATATTTTATTAACAAAAAGAAGTGAGAAAGGGACGAACCAAGGCACAAAAAAATTAAATAACATGATAAAACTAAATATAACATATTAATAAGAATTCAAGTATTAGAAAGAATGTAGAGCAACTAGAACTCTCATACATTGCTGGTGGAAATATAAAATAGTGAAATGACTTTGAAAAACTCTTTAGCAATTTTTTAGAAAGTTAAATATATTTCTATATACGACCGAGAGATTCCACTCTTCATATTTACCCAGCAGAAATAAAAACGTTTATGTTCACAAACTGAATTACTCAAGACTGTTTCTAACAGCCTTATTAATAATAGCCAAACACTTAAAAACATTTCTAATGACTGCAGACACCTAAATGGATAAATATATGATGGTTTATTAACTCAATGGAACACTGCTATTCAGCAATAAGAACAAAGTGCTATATACAACTTGGATGAATCTTTTTAGCAAAGAAGCCAGACACAAAAGAGAACATACTATTATGATTCCAGTTACATAATGTTCTAAAAGTGGCAAAACTAATCTGAGGGAATAAAACAAAAATGATCATTGTTTGTTAAGTGGGGGGTTGTTTGGAAGGGGCCATGAGAGAACTTTCTGAGGTGCTACAGGTTAGGTTTCCCTGGAAACAGACTCTTAGATGGATTATTTGTGTTCAAGAAGTCCACTGGGAAGTGCTCTCATGTTCAATGCCTATGATGAGTTGAAGGAAGCACAAGTGGGTACAGGAAGAAGTTGAATTGTGATACAACAGCAACAAATGCCTTAGGCCATCACATGGGGAGTTCTCAAACTGGGATGGGCCTTAGAAACTGTCCCAAATTACAGCAAGTGGACCAAGATCTTTATGCCTTTCCCCCTACCCTACCACTGCATTGACCAGTCATTGGGTATACACAGCCCCCAGAAAGTAGGTGTTACAAGATCAAGATAGCCCCCTTCAGTAGAAGGCAACTCTTAAAACTCTCTTTGGTTGAGAGTTGTCCACCAACATTCCCAGCAGCTTGAAAAATATGTGTTCGATTCCGGAAGCACTCCACTGTATTCATAACATGGCATGAGAGAAATGTTTTTATCCTGATTGAAGTATTGATTATATGGGTGTGTATACATTTATCAAGTTCACTGAACTGTACATTTAAGATCCATTTGGGGCACCTGGGTGGCTCAGTCGGTTAAGCACTGGACTCTAGATTTCAGCTCAGGTCATAATCTCAGGGTTGTGAGATTGAGCCCTGCATCGGGCTCCACATTGGGCATGCAGCCTGCTTAAGATTCTCTCTCTCCTGGGGTACCTGGGCAGTTCAGTCAGTTGGGATTCCGACTCTTGATTTTGGCTCAGGTCATGATCTTGGGGCCCTGGGACTGGGCCCCGAGTCGAGCTCCATGCTCAGTGGGGAGTCTGCTTGGGATTCTCTTTCTCCCTCTCCCTCTGCTCCTCTGGCCTGGCTCGCACCCTCTCTTTTTTTTTTTTTAAAGATTTTTATTTATTTATTTGACAGAGAGAGACACAGTGAGAGGGGGAACACAAGTAGGGGGAGTGGGAGAGGGAGAAGCAGACTCCCCACAGAGCAGGGAGCCTGATGCGGGGCTCGATCCCAGAACCCTGGGATCATGACCTGAGCTGAAGGCAGACGCTTAACGACTGAGCCACCCAGGCGCCCCTCGCACCCTCTTTCTCTCTCTAAATATAAATAAAATAAATCTTAAAAAAAAGATTCTCTCTCCCTCTTCCCCCCCAAAAATCCATTTATTTCACTGTATGTAAATTCTACCCCAAAAGAGGCCCCCCCACTACATGCATTATTTATTTTTTAAGATTTTTATTTATTTGACAGAGAGAGAGACAGCGAGAGAGGGAACACAAAACAGGGGGAGTGCGAGAGAGAGAAGCAGGCTTCCCACTGAGCAGAGAGCCCGATGTAGGGCTTGATCCCAGGATCCTGGGATCATGACCTGAGCCGAAGGCAGACGCTTAACACTAAGCCACCCAGGAGCCCCTGCTACGTGCTTTAAAAATGTTATACTCTTATTCTGGACCCCTGCCCCCTCCCCGCAAAAAACCCCATACTTAAATACTAACAAAGTACAACTTGGAATGAAGAGAGAGAGAAGATTAAATTTTAAAAACAAGGAACAGTACCATAGTCAAACTACAGCTTTTAAGATAGTAGTGGGTATTCATAGCAATTGGCCCCTAGTATTAGAGACCATAAAAAAGAAAAAGATGCTGACATTCAGAGGTATTAATTTGAAGTTCAAATAGAAGTCCATATCCATGTAGCAAGGATGACATGGTGATTTGATACAAAGCAGCATTGTGATTTTTCTTTAAAGGATTTTATTTATTTATTTGAGAGAGAGAGTGAGAGAAAGTGGGCTGAAGGGCAGAGGGAGAAGCAGACTCCCTGCAGAGTAGGGAGCCCGATTCGGGACTCTATCCTGGGACTCCAGGATTATGACCCGAGCCAAAGGCAGATGCTTAACTGACTGAGCCACTCAGGCGCCCAGCAGCATGGTGATTTGATGGTCTTTGTTGAAGCAATGGAAGGCAAACACCTGAAAGAGTTTTGTCATTAAAAAAAAAAAAAGTACAAACCCAAGCTCTACCTGTCCATTACTTTTCAAATATTTTTCAAAAATTCCTACAATGAATATCCCTTTCTCCCAGTTGTGGGACTGGCAATATGAAATAAAATAATCACTACCAATGCAAACATCACAATGCTATCATATATTTAAAATAATTATGCTTTGAAGAACTATACAAAGAGCCCAAGGAAAGATTGTTCAGATGATTCTTTCATAGGTTTCTGAATTAATGCATGAAGGTTATTTATACTGTGAAGAGCAAAATACTATTTTATTTTAAATCAATATCAGATTAAAAGTGACTTTTATCACATTATGAGCACACATGGTTCTGTGCACATATAACTATAAATTTGTAGGTTCCCGGGGAGAAACAGTACATAAATAAGTGAAATAGCAGCAAATTATGTTCACTAACAATGCTAAGTTAGTACAAACCAAAATGATATACTGAAAAACTACATAAATGATAGTAAATGCAAGCCTTTTTTCAAAATAGGAAAGATTTGGTCTTTCACCACGGTTACAACTTTACTGAAAGAATATGAATGGTGCCTTAAAGTTGGTAAGTCCATCCAATTACACTCAGGAAATAAACTAAAATTAAAAGGTGAGAAGGTTAATGCAAAGTTATTTTTGAAAATTTAATGCAAGTCAAAGGTAGAAAAATTCATGTTTTAAAAATATGTGTTTTACATTCCATATTTAAGAGGAAGGTATTTCTCAACTGAAGCTGAAGTTCTGTTTACAAAATTTTCAGAAATATTTGTTTTCCTTCATGATCCACACAGAATAGAAGGGGAGGAAATTAAGTATACTTTTGTAATACTTTTGTGCTACTGCAATAACATACTACTCACTCCTTAAAAGTTGATCTTCAATTTCTGCTCAATATGAAAATCTCTATAACCCAATCAATTTGTGGTCATTTACCTCCATTATAATTTCTTATATTAAGCATCTCCATTAAATTACTCAACTTCTAATTTCAAAATAGGTTTAAGTATATGAAATCATTACCTTGTTAGTCTTTTTGAAAGTAAGATGGTAATCACGATATAAATAGAAGAGGGTCTAACCTAATCCAACCGTTTATAGACCCACTTCTTTGCTAACCTTGAAATACAGGTGAAGGGCTAGAATCTCACAATTTTATTTTATAAACACCTATGATAAAATAACCTGTTTGTACTCCTGAGTATCATTTAAAATGTTTTCTAAATATCATTTAGAATACCTTTCAAGTATATAAAACCGTATGGAAGAAGTGGTCAGTGATAAAATGCTGGCAAAATACTTTTAGTTGGCAATATTTCCTAAAGCAGGAACCCCATTCATTCTGACTTTGTCCTATGGCCTCTGGGTGAGTTAGTCATCAT